ATCATTTCTGAGGATAGTACAGATTAAGCCATGCATTTAATTGTTTAGAAACAATACCATAATTTATCATACAAAATCTTTAAAAATGTACTTTTAAATCATTTAATCAATGCATCTCTAGTGACCTCTGGTATGATGTCTCTTCAGTAACCATCTTTTTATGCATTTGCAGCTAGAAGTCACATGGCCTAAATCTACATCAATTTCTAAATTGAAAAGCAAGCTTGAAATGTTACAATGGCCACACAAGTGCACAGAGAGAAACTAATTTTTACATTTCAGGTGAACCAGCCAGTATTAACATCTCAGGAACAAATTGATCTAGGAACTTTATTTAGTCTTTCTTTAGGAATCCAAAGAATTCCATCATTACTGACTCACTAGTTTCCCCTCTGTCAATCAATAAACTCCCCATATTTATGAAAATTACAATAAATTGCAAGAGATACATTCTTTTAGTGGTAAATTCTAAACAAAAATTCAATTTTTTGTTGGGAAAAAATGGGAAACTTGCAAAAGGAGACGCAGCTGGTTTGATTGGATAATCAGCACTCAGAGAGATTGGAATTCCACATGAGGGAAAGGAGCTTTTGTGATAGGCTCTGCATGGAATTAGTCACTCCACTGGGCTACTTAAGAGGTTTCTTAAAGTATTTGGCCTGATTTTGTGTCTAGGTTCCAGCCTGGAAGGGAGGGCGAAAGCTTTAGAGGGAAGGAAAGAACAGGTCTTATTAGTATTGTATTGGGTGCTTAGGGGCCTATGGGATTTAGTGAGCTAGTGATGCTTGCAAAAATAAAATTAAGCTGTTATCACAGTTACTGGAGAAGTAGGCTGTTTGTTAGTTTGCAAAGCTCAATGAGGTTGGTCAGTTGAGCCAATACTGACTGGGAGTATTGCAACAGTCTTTCAGGTGTTATTTGCTGACAAGGTAGCAGTCTACCTTCTCCCCACAGCTACAGCAGAGGAATATACTGTAGTTTGTGACAATTACTCCCAGGTACCTTGGGAGTGGGCCTTAAGATCGTCACAGAGAAGCGAAACTAAAAATGAACAGGCAGCTACTGTATTGGGAGTACTGTACAAATGTTGAGCACAGGGAGGCATTCCTGGCCAAACAGCATCAGCCTGGATTGTTATTGGTGATCTTGTGCTTGATGAAGAAGAGTGAAGATTTGTATTTAAGGGAATTTAGTGAATGTGATTGGTTGACACAAAGGGGGTCTAAATGAATATTTTAATGCCTGGTTGTGCTACTGTGACAAGTGAACATTAAGAATTGAGTGACCATCAACTGGGTTGAATGTTCTTGTGCCCAAGATACAGGACTGAGAAGGAAGAGGACTTTCCCCTCAGAGGGTTTCACTTGTTGGGCAACTGGGATCATGGAGCGGATTTAGAAGAAGACTGTTTAAAAAAAAAAATAAAGATAACGTGGATAATGATAGACTTAGGGTGGTGTGTGTAGAGGCTTGTCATTAAGGCATTTTTTAAAATGCACGGAGAAATGATTGATGAATTTAACTTATAAGTCACTTTTGTGGTGACCCTTTTTTAATTTCTAGTATGGTACACGATGGTGCCCTGCCTATGAAGAAAACCTGTTGCTAATAGCTTGCTGGTAGCAGACCTAATGTATCCATTACTTTTAGCAAGTATAATTATCATTCCCTCTTTCACATTGTGACCTGCACGCATTTTGCCTTGAAGAAAGCCTGAGGCTAATTAAAGTGTGGAATCCTAACCTATTAGTAGAATGAGCATGGAGCTCTGTGCAGCAAGTGTGGGCAGGAGATTGCGGTCTCTTGTGATCTCAAATCGGCAGCCCTTCTGGATCGACCTGCTCTCCTGGTTTCACCAAGCCAAAGCGGTCCTGTGCTTGTCTTAAAGGGGACACACTCTGAAAACTTTTCTTAAGACAGAGTGCCATAATGTAGAAGCCTTTTTCCTACATTATAGTGACTGGGCCAACCTTGTCATCATTTTGCATGTAAAGTCCAAATGAACATACTGTATGAGCATTGTTCATCTATGCAGAAAAAGCAGGAAGGAGCAAATGGCCAGATCAAGGCCTTTTTAATCTGATTTGAATACAAACAAGAGGAGGTAATGTGAGCAGGCTTGTTCATCTCTGAGCAAGTGCCTTTTGATTGATGATGTAGCCCGTGAGAACAGATGAGGACTTAATGTAAGCCTCTCATTAAAGGGACAGCATACACAATGTTAATGCATCTGTAAGAGACCTCTGCTCAGGTTCACTCTGTTCACCCTCTTTGTTGTAGAAATACTTTCCACATGGCTGTTTTTTGGGGAGTTAGTTTGTTGCTGAGGGGTACCAATGGAAATTCTTTCTTTTCTCTAAACTGCAGTAATGGATTTATACATGAAACGTTTTAATCTATTTTAAATCTGTTTTTTGCAGCTTGGGGAGAGAATTAAACTAGTCTTGCTATTTCAGAATGTTTTTCATGGTGACTCTGTATACAGCACTCTTTCATCTGGCTGCTCTGAAGTGTTCTGCCATGAGCATCATGTTTTTGTGATAGACAATACAAATCTGTATTTATGGGTGTAATATCTCCAAAAAGAAGGTGGAACAAGGCTACACATGCATTTTTGTTGACGTGCCGCATTGTGATCAACTTCATTTTCTTAATAAATAATTAGTGAAACAAGTCTATAATAAAGAGGCAGGTTTGCTTACGTGGAAATATGAAATGCACAGAACACCATAGAATGTTGAATAGACTATATACTTATAGAATGCATTGACAAAATCTCAGTATAAAGTGGATAAGACCCAAACAGAGGATAATTTCTTTAGTTTGGCCTTGTGTTGTTTGCAAGGTCTGATGTGGACAGTCTTACAAAAGCTGAAAGTACTTTAGGAAAACTGGCCATTGACTGAACAATTAACCACAATATAAAGTTGTGTGTTTCAACTGCACTGATTAGTGATTTAACCTAATCAGTGAATTACAGCGGTTTTTCTTTAACCTGTGTGTCTCCTGAGTGCTCATATTGGAGATGTTTTTGATTATTTAAATGCAGTTGCCAATGGAGGCATTTCTGTGTGAAGTCCATATTTTTGTGTCCAAGCTGGGAATAAATGAATGCACTTCATGTGGCTCTTGGGATTTGACTTGTGAATATAGGGAGGAGAGAATTCTGGGAAAAATCTTGTGATCATTTCTGCCCTCCACTTCTGCAAAATCTCAGAGCAATCTGAGAACTCTGCGGCCAGGGCTGTCTCTGCAGAGCACTTGAGAGAGGAATGGTAGAACGAGCAGTGATGTCTCCACTGATTCTCTGCAGCACTGAAACAGCTCAGAATTTTACAGATTGTCTTTTGCTAAAATCGTTCCCCAGTGCCTCATTTAGTATCGAGGTTTCAGTCAGAAAAGCTTACAACTTGTTCATCTGAATCTTGCACAGGCTCTGGGGATGATGCATGTGTAAAAACAACAGAACAAAAAACAAACCCCTTATTTTGATAGTTAGCTTAGCTAGCTGATTGTTTGTTTCTCCAAGGGCCAAAAGTGAAACTCAGTTATTTTAGAAAGAGGGGTGCTGCTGCAGATTTTGCCTTCTATTGTACTGAAATGAGTCAGCAGTTGCTTAATTGAGAATATTGCTTTAGGCCCCCTCCATTCTCAGCTGCTCCTCATTCTACCTTACATGTGTGTCTGCCCTCGTCAGGGCAATCTGAGATAGTGATGAATGTATTTTATTCCTGGTGTCCTCTCTTTCCAAACAGCTTTTCTGATTTGCAGTTACATTGCTGGTCATTCCCTCAGCAAAACACTCGTTGTCTAAATCTCATCTTTCCAATTTTTTTAAGAATGGTGACCCAGATTTGCAGGGTATTCTGTTAAGGAACCTGTATCGCACATTTTTTTACCAATGATTTCTGCTTCTTTTCCTCCACCTCCTCTGCCAGTCAAAAGCAAAATTCACATAATTTTCTGAAAGCTGGGGTAAAATGCCATAAGTATGGGGGGACAAGTATTTGATTTGCATTTTTTTTTTAAAGAAAAACAGTATGTTTCTCTTGAACAATCTGATGGTTTCCACCTTTTTTTTGTACGAGTTATTCTTTCATATTTCTTTTTATTTACATCTTTTGCAGGACAGGACACTTTGTGAGTTAGGTTACATAAGATGTCGACAGCCTGTGACAGTAGAAACAAACAGCTCTTCCTGAAGAACATACTCATTCAGTAGCTAAATCAATAAAACATATTTTATTGAGCAACAGTTTCCTATGAATCCTTTTGCACGCTCTTTGGGAGAAGAATAAGATTTCTCTTGTAAAGTTTGAGTAGCCGAGCAGACCTCGGCTATGTCATTGTCTAATTGCAGATAATTACCTTGTCATTCGATACATTCCTTCTTTCTGCAGCTTTTTTTTTTGCAGCTCTGCTTTGAAATGTGGGCTGGAGTGAGCTTTATAAAAGAATGATTGATAACTGCATGCTACAAAATAAGTAAATAAAATATAATTAAAATGCCACAAGGGTTTAAGCAGTTCATGTTTGGATCAAATTAAGCACTAAAGCAACATTTCCTAAGCACTTACAGTACATTGTGTAAGCCTCTTGTTTAAAGGAAAAGCATACATTACATCCTCCTCTGTACTCACAGGCTTCAAACCCATGAATACTTGAATATTTAGGAATTCTGACTGTGATTTTGTCAATGTAACATATCAATATATCAGCTCATGGACATACTGAAATCATCAAATCTAATTTTGTCCTGTCTGTAACAATCTGCTACTCAGCAGGTGTGCAAATACTGTATGTTTTACTCATGCTGAGACAGGAGCAGTGCAATATATAAATTAGACAAATATTTTCAAATTTAATCCTAGCAAGATTTTTGCCTTACAGAAAGCACAAAAAATTGTGTTGGGGCAAAAATGCTTTTGAAGTTTTCTTACCAATGTTCAGGCAATATGATATTGTGAAGTAGACTATTGACTCCAGATAGTTTTGTTTGTTCTTAATGTTTATTTATTGAAGTCTAATAAATTCACATTTACATTATACAGTGTACATTATTAGTAAGTACAGAGAACATTCAGCTCCAAGTTTCTTCCAGGAACTTTCAGATTCAGACTCTGTCTCGGGCCCCAGCACCTCGGGGAGCCCTACCAGTCTGTTTGCCTCTCTGTGAGCACTGGTAGGTGACTCACCCCAATGTTAACAAGAAGATGGCACTTAGCATAAATATCCAGGCACATCAACACTTTGTGAACTAGAGAGCATATTGCATGTGTAAAGCGCCACACCAGACACATACTGTACTTTAAGAGTGTCTAAAAGAAATATTGAAGGTTATTTGAAGTCTTCAATTCACAGTCCTCCTTAAAATACTGATGTGCCCAATTTAATCCTTCCAAAGCAATCTGAGTATTTCAGTGACTTCTATTACCCTCGCTGCCTGTTCGTGGACTGCGGCATGGTGATTATAATCTAGGGTGTACTGCATGCCTGTCAGTGTGTGTGTAGTGTCAGAAAGTCTCACAGGCAGTCATGATTACCGACCTTCTGCAACACAATACATTTCAATACCATTCGCTCCCTTCTGCCTTATCTACATAGAAGAACAATGCTCATATGTTTATTTGTACTTTACGTGCCAAATTATGACAAGGTTGCCCCTGTCATTATACTGTAGGAAAAAGGCAGAAGTCTAATGGTAGGCATACTAATCAGCAGAAAATGTGGACAGATCCAAATGTAACTGAAAGGAATCACCTTAAAATATATTTGTGCATTCACGTAAACTGATTTTCAGAAACTCAAAGGTCTCAGCATTCAAAGTGATAAAAAGAGTAAGGCTACAGCATTATACTGATATATATCGAGTTCTAAATTGAGAATCATCACTCTTCCTCTGCAACTCTGTAACTGACTACAAGCCAGCCGGTTCAACTGCTTCGACACACAGCATACAGATCTCAGGCTCTATTACCCCAGCATATCCATTTCATTTTGGCCTTCATCAGACCTTGAGGATGGACAGCTACTCACTCATGACAACAGATATTGCAGGTCCCAATTATTCTGCGGCATAGGTAGAAATCATGCCATGCTATACTGTATGTGTCCTTAAAGGAGATCTTTGTGATAAATATCTGTAGTGCTTTAAATATGCAGTGGTGTTTGTTGGTGTAGGTTGTTGTAAACTAAATGGCATCCTTACTGTTTGCATTACAATATAGTTCAGTGGTTGCCACCTCTGGTTCTGAAGGAACACTGTGTTTTCTGGTTTTGACTCCAGCCGAGTTCTTAATCACAAATTTGTAAATTTGCTCTCAGCTCTTAAAAGGTGAAACAGTATTTGTAATTGGCATCAACTCTGAATATATTTTTAAACTTCAGGACTGCCAGAAGTGCAAGCAATTAGGCATCTGCAGAAGGAAGAAGGGAGTGTCTGATACAGAGTCATTCCCACTTGGGTCTGTTCAAGATCAATTGATCAAATCTTAGGAGCTGTCCAGTCAGAAATACTAGGAAGCAAGTTGCGAACAGGCTCTGTGAAGTTCTGCATGCTGAAGACATTGGAAGCATTATCCTTGAAGTTGGGTATTTTTGACACTCAGTACTGCCTAAGAAACAAGTTAAATAACTGAAAGCACATCAGTTACCACTAAAGATGAAGTGATTAGCTGGAACGAAAAAACAGTAATCCTCCAGGACCAGGATTGAGAACCACTGATACAGTTTTACAAAACTGAGTTTATCCAGATTTTTCACCACATCACTACTTCCAAAATATTTTGGCTGGGAGATTGCAAGCATCTGTCCTGGGAAAACATGATCATTCAAAACATTTCCCTTCCCTGAATATGGGAATTAAGCAAAAAATGAAGCTGTAAAATTCCAAATTTTGGAAGAAAGCCACAAATTACTAAATTGTTTCTGGGAGCAAAAGAAAATTCTCAGTATAGTGGTGAGAAATCAAGGCAAACTAGAAACTAACAATACTTTCGGTTTCCCATCTAGCCCACAGCAGACATCTATACAGTGTATCTATTCGCAACAACCCATTCAGAATTTAACCAAGAGTATATTTGACTCTTTAGATATATTTGTGTGCCACTTGAAAGTGAAAATACAGTTTGCCATTGTTAAATGCAATTTACCATGAAAATCTTTAACAGACCATTAAAATATACAGTAAGTCAAATTAAAACTTCACAGAAGCAAACTCAAAGTTTTTGCTCCTGGGAAAAATGTGGTCCCATTTTATTAAGATAAAGGCTTTGAGTAGACGGTTTTATCCAAAGGTAAAAAAGATCAGACCAGAGGGTGAGCTGTGTATTAACAGATATAACAGGTTTTCTAACAGGTTTACAGGCTGTAGAATAAAGGAGGCCCAGTAATGTCAGTGATGTGGCCCCTGGTTTGTCAATGGTAGAACTAAATCAAATCAGGAAGAGATCAGTTGACCCATGAGAGACAGAAGCTCTGTCGGGTGCTGGGGCGTTGAGTGTCTCTTTTCAAGAAGGTCTGATAGAGGGGAGTTAATCCAGAGAGGCCACTGCAAATCGCTGAGGCCACATCTCAGGCTTTTACAAAGGTTACAATCTGTGGCATCGACTAAAAAAAATCACATTCAATCAATAAACAGAACACAGACCTGACAAAAAAACCCAGGCACTTGTGATACAATAAGTTTTGTAATACATATTTACACTATAAGTGCTACAAAACCAGTATTGTAATTACAGAATCAAATAAGGACAAAATAATCCTTGTTTTATAAAAAAAACATACAAAATATTTTTTTACAGTTGGGAAAAAAGTTGCCTTCATTGGTATTATTTACACGATATATACACACCGTATATATCAAAATTATTTTAACGTTTCCAGGAACTGACAACTCATATATAAGAATAAAACATTGAGAAAACCTTCAGATAGTCAAATAAAACAACAGATTGTCAGGTAAGTGTTTGAGTATCTGTCATCTGGAGTGATGGAGTGTAATCTGAGAAAGTTTTATTCCCAGTTGATCTTCTTTTGTCAATGGTTTAATGGACTTGTCATTAGCAGATTCCTAAACTTGAAGAACAGTTTAAATAAGCTTCACAGTCATATGCCTTTCCAAGACCAGATTATCTACCTTCACACAAGAACTATAATGTTGTACACAGCACTATCAGTTATGGCAGTAAATACATCTGTAAACTGAGCTGTAACTATTATTTATAATACCCACGGTAACTTTGACAAGAACAGACATAGTAAATTAGCGATGGATTTTTGTTCTTGTTTTACTAAAATACTTATGCATAATCATTCTAAATCCAGTCCATTCTGTGTCCCAGTGTTGCAAACTGGATTGGTTTGGTCTGTGGATGCTGTCTCACACATACAGCTGTAAACATGGGGACTGGATTTATGGAATGCATCTACAGAGCTGTTACAGGCCTTTTCTTAAGGATTTAAGGAAACGTAATGGGAAGTTGCACTATTTAAAAAAGAGACCGAAAAAAGAGAAATACTGCAAACAATTATCAATCAGAACCTGAATCCCATCTCTGAATCACATTTCAGTAAACCCTACAGAAAAATAAGCATTTGACTGACATTTTGCATCTGAATTTCAACCTGAGATCAGTCTGTAATGCAGGTAATGGTTATCAAGCTTAAGCTTTAAATGTGACTAAGCTGATGGCAATCTCTTCAGTTTCAAATACAGGTGATCACAGGAGGATTTAATACAAGTATTCAAAGTTCAACAGGAAGATTAGGACCGTGATGAAGGTAAATTAAAGTTAAATTAAAGTTAATCCAAAGGATCAATAGTGAAACAAGGACCCAGGGACACTCTTGGATAAGAAGAGGAAGCTCATTCAAGACTGAGATTCGGAAGAACATCTTTCCTTTAGGCTATTGAAACAGGTTCCCTGGGACCTTTCAAGAAATGGCTGCATGAAATCCTGAGGTCATTAAGTTACCAGCACGTACTGTAAGACTGTAAGATGAATTGAACTGCCATTTCTTGCTTGTAAATGTGAATGCGCTCTTCCCTATCTGTGATATGTTTTAGAATCTTGTCAAATCCGGGTGAAGTAGCACAGGTCATTTTCATGGCTGTGGAAAGTGTACGTTTAAAATACAAATATCAGCTATTAAAGTATTATTAAAAAAAAATTCCCTCTCCAGGTGCAGTAGCTGTTAAATCAGGAAGAGGAGACCTCCAGAGAGAATTACATGCTGTTCTTAATTATGTACTTGTACTGTAATTCATGCAGAAGTATCTTATTGTGTTTAATAATCCAATAAAATGGATATTAATTAAGCAATGCATTGAAAGGTTAAAGACTCTTCAGGAGCAGATGAAGGACCACATAAGTGGCAAACAATTTAAATTGAGCCAGTACTGTTTATAGGACTGCATCAATTATTTGCAGACTCTATTAATAATATCCTAGATATTCTGGATAATAGGTTAATTTGTGATAATATTGGGAAGCAAGGAATGAAAAGTGTCTTGGCTTGACTTCTAACACTACTGGTCTGTTTCAAGCATAAATGGCAGTGCACAAGGAAGCCTCACGTGAACCTAAACTTACACCCCTGTCTACCACTGGGACACCCTATGATATCCAGATGTTTTTGCAGCTGTAGCTGGAACACACAGGGGGATATTCATACAGTGAGGCCTGCTCTGTTGATCTCAACAACAGTATAATGAAATCAGGCTTGAAAAGAATAAGAAACAAAAGCTTCTATCACAGTATATCTTGACTCTTGGTGTCGATTTTTAAAAAAATATGTTGCATGTTCAAATCAGCTGGTCAGGTCTCAGTATATGTTCAGTCCCTGCATGTCCTCTGGAAGTGGTAACAGCTCTGTAGACACCTCTCTGTTGACCTGTTTGTTGTCTGTAGTTCCGGTTCACAGAATGAGGGTTCTCAATCTCTTGGCACTCCCCTTTGCATTGGAATGCCTAAAGAGATGTCCACTGAGACTACCAACAGCAATGGACAACCCCACAGAAAGTTTTCTATTGCTTTACATGGGTGACAGTTTGGGTTCTAGTATGGCCCTGTCACTTGTGGTATAATGAGGAATAATGTGGGTCATGTTTGTTAAGTCACCTCAAACCTACTGTATAATGATTATCACAGTTGTGACCCAATCACTAATGTCAGATTTAAGAATGTATTGATTTTTTAAATTAAAATTTATCACCAAAGAAGACTATAGTCTTGCATAATCAGATAATGAATGTGAATAATACTGGTGTCTGCCCTTTTTAATAGGTTTTTATTTATTCCCTTTCCCATTTACTTGAAGGATGTAGCGAGTCAACTGTAGTGTGTGCTATCTATTGCTGGCATGGCATAATAAAGACAAAACACTTTCCAGTTTAGCAGTATAGCCTGATGGAGAATTAATCCTGATTTTAAAAAAGTCCAAAGCAATGTTCTGAAAACAATCTTTGGAATTATTGGGCCAGGCTGGAACCTATAAACTCTTGCTCAGGCAATCTAGAGAAAACTGAAAACCAAACTGGTAGCATAAAGGACAGGCATTTACTTTCCCTTGTCTGTAACCCAATTAGGACCAAGTCAACAAGTCAATCTGTTATTCAGATATAGTTTTATGTTAGCAATAGGAAATGCAGAGTTTGTGACAAATCGAGAAAGAATTGTAGCTCCTATGCACCTTCCAGTTATGCATACAGAGCCTGTGGTTACAGAGCTAAGAGTGAAGCAGCCTGGGTCTGGTCATCAAACCCCAGGCCATGGGATACTCAGCCAGCACTGTGGAGAGTGGCTTTTACTGAAACACGCATTGAAGAGCACATTGGATTTACATACAGGATCTGGCCAACCTTTGGTCAGTGCTTTTCTTTTCAAGGTATCCAAATGATTATTAAATTAGAAATTGCATTAACCTCCTGGATGAATGTGTGCATTGGTCCTGAGAAACGCACAACACCGACAAGTTACCCGATACTGCTGTGTTTATGTCTGCTCATCTTTGAGCTTGGCGTTGTGTCACTACAGATCATCTGTTCGTTTTAATAAGGCAGGGTCCCCATACGTTAATTGAACTATTCCTGCTCTTACTGTGTTACCAATAATGGCTTATTATTTTTTCATTAACAAAAGCTTTTCTCACCAACGCGAAAACGCACTTTAGTGATTCAATAGATCACTTCTTCCAATTAACTGAGCCTCAGATGAAACTTGACATTTCCTGTAGCTGAGACACAAGCCCTTCTACTTCTGAGCTGAGCACTTCTATCCTTACAGGCCAGGCCACAGTGTATTAGGTTAAGTTAATATGTTCCCTGATCTTAGATGCAGATTAGCATTAAAAGTCAAATACAAGGGTATGTTTTTTGGGAGAGTTCTGTACTGTACTGTTCTTTGCTGGATTGTTGTGCCTTGAATACTATTTGTTTGCTAACAGAAAGCAAACAACTTTCATGTGTAAGATGCTATGTGATCTCTTACAGCAAGTAATCCTGTCAAGTAAACATCACGCAAAGCTGTGCACATTCAAATGAATCATCTTTTGCTAGGAAAGCTTTGCTATGGGTTTTAAGAAAATTAAAGGCCACAATCCAGCAGGTTTTCTGGGTGTTGTTAAACTAAATCTTTTAAGGCTTCCTATGTTAAAGGGCTAAACTGATCCTTATTTAACCTTACTGAAACCTTTTGACTTAGTGAACTGCAGACCTCAAATTGGGAAACATGAGTAACAAGGTATAAAACCTTATCTGATCTGTTGCTATTTTATTTTATATCTGCGATTTATATCTGTGGAAAGATTTTTGGCCACAGATAACTGTTTTTTTCTTTATTTCTGTTTTGTTTTCCACTTCCCAGCAATTGCTTTTGGAAACCTAGTTATGAATGAGGTCTTTGCACAAAGAAATTGAACCCTGAGAAATACACACCCCTGAATTTAACTTTCAAGCTGTTATTGAGGCAATGTGTGTATATTATACTGTACATTTACAGTTTGCCTGGTGTCATACTGACTAGAGGCAGCACAGAGGATCAGAGAGAAGCCAGTCTTAAGCAATGTGTAACACAACATTTCCAACTTTAGGCAGAAAGCCTAAAGTCTGCAGGACACACTTCAGAATTCAGGTGCTCCTATACACTGTAACCACACCCCACCTACAGTTTTGCTACATGTGTATGTTGCCTCTACAGCTTTTTGCCTGAGCAGGACAGAACCGCCACACTACACACATGCTGGTTAAAACTGCTTCTATAATCTATTCCGTACTTTTCAACACAGACCATATGGCAAATATTAGGAGTCTCTTACTGTGGAGCATTCTGAAATGTATTCATAACCTGTATGACATGGTTTCATTTTGACATTTCCTACCCACATGCAGATTATTTATGAACTAGCATTAATTCCTTTTTAATTTTTTTGTTTTAGTGCTCATACAAGAGCTGCATTAAATAAGCGTTTGATCTCTTTAATGGAGTCTATGAAAATGGCAGGCTGGGGAGACAGCTCATTGATTTCCCCCTGTCTTAATTGTCAGGTTCTACCAATTATGCAGTCAGGTGCCTGTTATTATATTCCATTAAGATCAACAAATAAAACTAAGAATTGCCAGGGGGGGCAAGAGGGTTCCCTTTGCTCATCTTTCATCAGCAGTCTCAACTGCACCACCGATTTCTGCATGACACAGGCACACAATCTGTGTTTTTTGTCTGATCCTCTGTGTTGCCGTTTTAACAGCAAAGCGTAAGAAAACCGATTGTCTGGGTTTGTATTGCTCTCAAGCACCTGCCACTGTGGGCTGCTTGAAAATTAGTCCCATAACTTGCTGCCTTGGAGAGGCAGGGGAGAAACTCTGATTCAGATTAACTGCGATATTCTACCAGTTGCATATTCAAGCTACAGAGCCCCCAATAACTTGTTAATCAAAAAAATAAAATAAAAAAACAGAAGGAGACGTGGCACAACTGTGTATGGTCCTCGGGATTCTCAAGTCAAGGCAGTAGAATCTGAGCTAGATCTTGCACAATCTGGCATGGGCTAGCTGGCATTCTCTTCTCAATCATCCTTGCATTGTCACGATGCTTACAGTCCTGCCACACTGCCAGTTATATGTCCATCGTCTAGCACACTGGAGATTCAGCCATGGTATGTATTCAATATGAGTGCCAATATGACAGACATCTAGTCCTGGAGGGGGAGCTCCTTTCCCACTATCAAATGCTGGACATTGGCCACTTGTGTCTAGTCTCATAAGATGGCATAGTTTATTTTACAAAATATACAAGTTAATGGGATTAGTATATGTCTAAAGTGAGCACTAAAGTATACTTCTAAAAAAATAACAAAGATGGCAGAGTGGGGGAGGGGATGGCTTTGATTGTTTCACACTCACTTGCAGGCTTTGATTCCACATTTCCAAATGGGGTTAAAAAAAGCCAAGAACCAGAATCTGTTAGATTGAGTGGATGGGGGAGACCCCAACCTCCGTGAAAATGACAATGAAGGTGAAAGAACACAGGGAGGACGGGGGTCAGAAACAGCCTGGTTGCAACCACAGGTTAGGTTATACAGATATGGTGGCAGGTTGTTATTCACAAGACTAACGAAATACAGGGGTAGAGGGGTAGAACAGACCCCCCCCCCCCATTCTTCTTGTGTCGTGGAAAACACAATGGGAGGGAAATGCTTCAGGGAGGGTAATGTAGCTGATCGAGTCCTAAAAAGACTCATAAAAGAGGCCTAAGACTATGACTATGATGGTTATGGTTAGCTATGGCTATAAACATGAACATGACGACTGTAGGGTGCGATAAGTCACAGTGTGGTGAGCTCTGGATATCTGGATGTTTCCTGTAGGGCCAGAGGAGTCATGTCTAAGGGACAAGGAAAGCAGGACAATACTGAAAATGGATGCCTCAGTGCACTCAAGTCTTTATAAAGCAGTGCCAGGGTATAGGGTAGGAGGGTTGCGTGGGATGGGTTAAAAGAGGGGATTCCAGACTGAGGAATGAGAGGGAGGTGTGGACTGGGAGGGCAAGGCCATCTACTAGATCCTTCATGAAAACACCACCACCCTCCCAAATCAACCATCGGAAGGGAATTAGTTGCCCACCCCCTTCCTTCCCACAATCCCTCCTTCCTGGGCCCTGCTGGATAACACGTTGCTCCATGCTCAGACCATCGAGGTGGCCGTGGGCTCCGGCCGCAGGCTCTCGGCGATGTCCTCCCTCTTCATCTTGCGCAAGGCAGTGCAGAGGGCATCCAAGGTGGCACAGTCCTTGCTGGCCCAGTCAGACAGCAGAGCCCGCACGGGATGCTCCTCCTGCCGGAAGGTGTTGATGTGCTCCTCCTCGTATCCCAGCAGCCCCGCCAGGCTGCACCAGTCCGTCTCCTCCTGGGCGCCCACGTTCAGCAGCTTCTCCACTTCCTCCTGCTTGTGGGGTGGCAGGCTGGGGTAGGACCCTCCATCAGTCTTCACTACTAGGGAGAGAGGGTGAGAAAATTAGCTCCCTGAGATCAAGCTGTCAGTGCTCTGCAATGAAGCAAGGGCACAAGTGGAAGTCACACCAGATAGTGCATTTAGGACGGAGAACATGATATTCTTTATATAGTGATATAGGGATAGTGGGTTCCTAAAACAAGCTTCTCGCACATGTCTTCTCAGGTCTGTTCCCTTGGGTCTTCAAGAAGCAGCTGAATGAGATCCTTAGATCCTTAGATCAAGCTCCTAGGAACAAAGTGCCCCATCCTTACAGCCTGTAACCTGTTCTACAGAAGCACCTGTGCAAAAGAACTGTCACTGAGTAGCTATTGGGATGGAGCAGGATCCAAAAGTTCCCAATGTACAAAACATCCATTTTACATCCCTGTTAAACAAAAATAAAAATGTTTGTGCTTCCTTATTCTGAATGTACAGTCAGACATTTTCCCTATGTCCATAACTTCAAAGAAAAGCTTTCACATCAGAAATCTGATCGTATTGCAGCAGAATCCTATCGCATTCTACAGATCTGGCGATTCATGTTAATGTTTTAACAGATATTAAAATGCAAGCTGGCTTGGGACTGAGATCCAACACATCTGATAGCATCTGCCACTGTTCACTGAATCTGGGACACACTTAGTTTGAATATTTAATTGTATAAAGGTCTGCTTGACATAGACCCCACACAATCAAAAATATGTTGGCCAGCTCTGACATGGAAAAATAAAGCAAAACTGTATTTTTGGTGTATAAACAAAGCAGTGTCTGGTGCCCTGGCATTTTTCAGCTTGATCCAATGAAAGTTAACCTTTATATTGTGGGCGTTGAAATGGGTAGGTTGAATTTCTGCAGGTTTGAAAGACTCTCCAAGACTTTCTTCTTTAGCCTTTTCTGGTTTTGATAAAATCTACTCCGTGGCATTATTTTTTAAAAAGCCACAGGAATTTATTGGGATTTAAGAAGAATGTAAAAGACAGGAAAAATTAGAAATTTGAGGTTAGGATATTAAAATTTGGTATGCCACTTAATCAACAACAACAGAATAGCCCACATGAATTTATTTCCCTGCAATGATGAACTGGGAACTGTAATTATGAAATGTACCACTGGGGGCTCTATTGATTCAGGTATCTGATCACTGTTTTTTAAAATATTTAAAGGAGATGGACAGATCTGAAACTAAGGTTGAAAAACAATCTAGAGATGATTTTATATAGTAGGTTCATAGTGAGAGTAGTCAAGAGTACAGTTACAAGTTTGATAGCGTGATGAAGAGAAATTGTACTTGAGCAGAGCAATTAAAATGCAACTAGGACTGAGGCTGGATTATTTATAAGGTGAATATGCAGCTGAAATATAGGAATTCAGTTAAGAACAGACCTCCCCTGAGAGTTCTCCTCTCTCACTCATCTTTCTAAAGAGATAAATTTAACTGCAGTGAGAGGCGATTGAAAGATTTTCCCTTTAAGGAAAAATATTTTAGTAATCTTTTTAACTTTAAGCCAATTAATCACCATGTCTCTATGTACCGGTAGGAGTCACAGAGGATTCGCCTACTCTAAACACTAGACAAGCTTTAGTTAGGTCTGAGACATAGTGTCAGGCTGTTGGGTTTTGACCCAAGCTGCAGTTCTCAAAATGGAAATAAAGGAAGTTTAGATTTCTAGCTGAGATTTCCAATAATATTACTGACATTTTGAGTTTTGTACACTTGTTGAATCGAGGACCTGGAGGAAACCCACATAAACATGTGAAGAAAACATGATGCAGATACTGCACTAGTAGTTGAACCCAGGGCCCCAGCACTACAAAGCAGTGATGCTAACACTGTGCAGCACAGTAAACAGACTGGTATCTATAAAATATTTACCAACATTAAGTCTTTTTTAGGCTGGGGGAAGGTAGGTACCATTACATTTTTCCAACACTGGCAGAGACCTGTAAAGGTCTGGGACTTTCAGCTGCCAAGCCCACTGTACCATCTCTGTCACTGCACAAAGGTCTGTCCGGTCATTGCCCACTGCATGGGAAATTAAGCATTTACAGAAAATCTTCTGTACAGGGCTGGAGCATTTCTGGTGTGCTTTCATCATGGCGTGGTATTGACTCATGTCCCTGTTTTAATCTGTCAATCGCAGAGCAAGGGATTCACCTTGGAACCCAAAGTAAAAGCAGATTTATAAACAGTTGCCTGAATCATTGAGCTAATTACATTATAATGTACATGAAGAAAATGTTAGCTGGTGAAAAAATGCATACAGTAATTGATTTAGAAGAAATGAAGAGAGGAATTGCTGAACTGATTAATAAATTAATGAATTGCTGGATGGACCAGTATAAAAATTAGCATTGATTTAAGAATTTAATCAGAAATTGGTAAATGAATCAACTATAGAACTGCATAATAAATAAATGAGGTTTTGAGCCACAGGTGGGCTTCTGTAAATTGTACCCAGCTGAACTGAGAGTACATTTTACATAGAATTTAAGACCTAGCAAAGCATTGCATTTTGACAGTGTAAAACAGGTTCTTCAAGGCATGCTCAAAATTGTTTCAAAATAGTTCATCCATGGCAGCGTGTAGTGAGTTTTTTGTGCAATTTTGAACACCGTGGAACACGTCCAGCACGAAGAATCATTAGGCAGACATCAGAGGGACTGCATGCCTTTCTGAAAGAGCCCTGGAGCTGTTTGCAAAAACATTACACACCCCTCCTTGAGTTTTCTGGACTACTTTTCACTGACAGGGATCATATACCAAAGCCTCTGTTTGTTCAAAGGGATCAGTTTGTAAGATCAGGACTGGAGTTCCTTTGAGTCAAAAGGCATATCCTGCAACCCTGATAATTCGGGGTTGTAATATCAGCACAGCAAACAGAGGAGGGCTCAGCAGATTGACAGGGAGGGGAATGGCTCTGTTGAGAAGGGAAATGTACTAAAAGACTGAGTGGCTCCTGGACATGAGCTTGAGTTGGCTGCACCCCTACGGTTAAACGTCAGAGATACAAATTGGCACCTTTCCAAAAGTATAGAATTGGCAGGAAGATAAAAGACTTTCACACTGAAGGGGATGTTTGTTGCTATTTAAAGGATTGTGCAAAACTTCTTTCTCAGCATGCAGAATGACTGAGATTTCAAACCTATCTTGGGCACCACAGGAAATTAGTATTTGTGGTCAAATCTTAATGCTTTAGAATGAATAATTCGAAGCAGTCTGAGCATTAGCACGGCTTTAAAATGGATACTTCCAAGAAAGGCCACATGTACGGTGTAAATTGAGTCCTGTATTTCAGTTATTGCTGTTTTTATGTTTGGGCTCATGTCATTAGTAAAACAGGATTCCAAAAGCTGTGGTGCAGAACCAGCTGTGCGGCACTGGGCTGAATGGGTGGAAAGGGATTTCAGAAGAGCCCTGATACATCCTGGGTGCCTGGGAGCTTGTGATACCAGAAAAGGGGCCATCATTCCTCCATTAATCCTGAAGTGCTCTATAGCTCCACACACGAGCCATCTTTCCTTAAAGCATGATGATGAAAATACTTGCACCACTACAAAGGCTGTTTGTCGAAGAAGTCTGGATTGATTGAAAATCGCTGAACACGGAATAATGTAGAAATAGAAGATGAGGTTTTGTGTTTTTGAAAAAAGGACATTGCAAATAGGCGGCGTGGTGTTACAGTGGTGAGCACTGCTGCCTCACAGAGCTTGCATCCTGGGTTCAATTCCTGGGGTGCTACCTATGGCGAATTTGTATGATCTCTCTGTGTTTGCATGGGTTTCCTTGGGGTTAAATGACTTGGAAAAATTGACACTTTTGTGTGGGTGTGTGTCTGTTTGCGACTGGAGTCCAGGGCGTATCCCATCTTGAATGCCCGGACAGGCTCCGGCTCCCCTGGGGCCCAGTAGTTCGAAAATGGATGTATGGGATGGACATACAAATACAGATGAAGGATGATGGTTTGATATCACTAAGCGGGATCTAATCTTTATCAGTTATTATTGACATGATTTTCTATGAATGTTGTTGGGCTGCATTAAGCAGCTGTAGGCTTTAGGAGGAAATCCAGGGATTTTAACACTTTAATCTGTCGAGAGCTGTGGCTGTGGAGACACCACAACCACTTATTAGCACCTATTAAACACCCAGACACCCCCAAGCCCAGGCCTGTCATGAATAACAAGGCAGGACTGCAGGACTGCTGGGAGCAGACAGGCCTGTGCAGTGTCAGAACGCACCTGGTAATGAGCAGGCCTGTGAGCGGCTCTCACACACAGGATCTCCACGGCTCACCACTGCTTCATGGCCAGGATTAGCAGCTGGAGCTGTGGCTGCCTTGGTGCATAGACTTTAAATACCCATGAATAAGAATCCAGGGCTTCTGAATGTGCAGCATTACTGAATCGCAGGCTGACTGCAGTATATTTTTTAATACAGCAAGGTTTCTTCATGCTTGATAGTGATGCCTTTCCTCTTTGCTTTAATAGTGTGTTTCACGTGAAATTTGGTAACAGTCCTCTGTAACTGCTAGAATGCCAACGTTGCATGTCTAAAGGCAGTGGTGAATGCTAAGCTACAGTATCTCAGCAACTGGGTGCTCCTGTTTCCTCCCAGAGTCCAAAAACATATTGTTACAGTTAGTAAACTGGCTTCTGGGAAGATTGGAACTGGTGTGAGTGTTTGCTTGTCTGTGTTTGTGTCTGTGCTTTTGCCCTGTGATGGGCTGGCATTCTGTTCAGAGTGTATCCTCTCTTGCGCCTGTTGCTCTGGCTTTGCTGAAGGAAAAGAGACTTGCGGATCTTGATTTTCTCTCCTATAACTTGGACCACAGAACCAGGATGCAAAATTAGTCAACAAGAAGTAGTTGCTCTAAGACTCGAGGACAGCAGAAAAGTCCAATGTCTGTTCTGTAATAAAGGACAGATATGGAGTTTTGTCATGTCTCTGTAACCCTACAGTACTTCCAATTTATTTGACATTCACACCCTGGGAACACAGATAGTATCATAGGCTTGTGAATGGGAGTAGGAAAAATAATACAACTATAGGGAAAAAAAGAACAACTATTGAACAACTGACTGAAGACATCCTGCAATTTTTCTTTTCAGAATGAAAACTGAAGTGGATCAAATTGCAAGGAATTGGGTGTCTTACCTATTTCCCAAAATAGTCATAAAATTGTTATATTTGCTTCCCTGCTGCTGCTAAATAAGGAAGGGAAGGAAATATTGGAAATATGAGCAATCATGAGCCATTCATCCATAAGCAAAATCAAAATCATTTCTGTCCCCGGTAGACACTGGGTCAAGCTGTACTGCAGTAAAACAGCTCCGGTTGTGGAGATCAGCCTGCCTGGCGCTGGGAGTGGGACCCTCTGTGATTATGTGAATCTGATCTCTCTCAGCTGTCCGAGTTGTGCAGGGACTCTTTAACAAGCCCTGTGGGAGGTTTATACACCAGATCACAACATCCAGGGCTAGACCCCCATTTTATTCCACATTTCACATTTTTCATATTTCACCTTTCATATTTCACATTTTATATGCCTCAGGGATTTTTTCCTGTACAATTACAGCTGACTGCTATGCCCCTACACAACACTGGTTCAGCTTTTCGGTCCTATTAAAACATTCTTCTTTGAGTGACAGCATTCATATTGGGAAGACCATAACATTTATGTAGGGAACACTACACATCGATGCATAAAGAGCACCTGACATGGGGCACAGTTCCACATGCCACTTTTAATGTTAATTAAAGATGCATTTTAATACGATCACATGTTCTGCTCTGTCTCCAACAGTGCAATTTACACTCGGCACTGATTTCTTACTGTTATGCCTCTCATATTAAGATTTATTGCATCCTGAAGCTAAGCTTGTGAGCACCATTTTCAGAAAGACTTGCGAACCTTTCTTATGTATTAAATTTCAGTTTTTCTCTGTTTATATACAGTAATGTAACGCATACGGCCACCAGTGAGTGTGTAAGAGCCGTCTTACCAGAGCGGTGACATCACGACCCTTCCCGCCCTTCCCTGGCCGCTGGGTCGGGGGGAGATCTTTCTTTAGCTCAACAGGCTGGGTCCCTGTTGAGTGACGCCGGAGGCCCGTGTTCAAGTCCCCAAGGGTGGGGGGCCGACCTGATGCCACAGCGGCAAGGGTGCCCACGTGAACCCCGAAGCGTTACAATATTCATGCTGTTTCTTGCTGTATTGTGTTCCCTCCTACATGGCAAAAAAAAAATCAGGGCAGAGCCATAGCCCTGTGGCTAAGGATCTGCACCTGTAGCTGGAAGGTTGCTGGTTCAAATCCCATAGCTGGCAGGCATCCTATTTTGTTGAGCCCCTGAGAATGTCTGATCCTGCACTCTGACCCCAAGCTTCTCTCCCTGTCTGTGCCTCTCATGGAGAGCAAGCTGGGGTCTGTGAAAAGACAAATTCCTAATGCAAGAAATTGTATATGGCCAATGAAGTGATCTTATCTCATCTCAAAATAGTGTTGGACTACAATTTCTCATTACTGTTCTTTCTGCAGAGGTTTAGTTTTCGTACAGATGCTTTCCCAAACGGCACCTATCCGTGGCCATGCGTGATCGGTGATGCCCACCTTGTGTCTGGGACTGGCTCTGCTGCTGTTGCTGCTGCTCTTGCAGACTCTGGCTGTCGACTGAGATCCCACTGTCGCTGTGCAGCTTCTCTCCCTCGGGGGAGGGCGTCTGGTTGACCGTGCGGTTGTTGTTTCCCTGCTTGTTCTGCTTGCAGCTGTTCCACCTGTACGGGGGGCAGGGAAGGATGGGGCTTGAGTTCCTCAGCATGTTTTAACACAGCTCACTCTGAGCTGATCCACTATGCAGAAGCACCAAAGGGAACAATGAATGAAGCAGTTCAGCCCAATCAGTGGAACAGTGGTTTCCAGTCCTGGTCCTGGAAGAACACTGCGTCAGCTGCTTTTTCTTAATCACATTAAATACTCATAATAAATGAGTTCTTAATCACAGACTAATTGATTTCAGGTTTTTGTTAGAGGCACATTTGCAATTTTGCTTTCAGCTCTTAAAGGTCAAATGGGTTTCAGAGTGTCAGAGTAAGTTTCAAGAGCACCCTCATCCAGGTGAGTCATTCCCAAACATCTCTTCAACATCAGCCGAACTAGTAAGAGTGGTTTAGTCAGAAATAAAGCCTCACAGGCTGCGTACAGTTGTGTGTGTGCTGCAGATGTTGACAACAGTACCCCTGGGGTATTTTTCACACTCTCTACTGACTGACGTTAAATAAAAGTCTAAACAAACATCAGATCATTTAAATCATAAATTAGCACTGGAGGTTTAGAGCTCGGCTAGAATTAAAATAACAGCAGACAGTGTTCCTCCAGGACCTCCAGGGACCCACTGACGTAAATGAAGTCCTAGTTCAGATCATACTGTGCCTGCCCATTCTTCTGGGCCTGACTCAAGTCTAATCTTAAAGCAGTAATGCCCATATCTGTTTCTTGCCGTCCATCCATATCTTAAACTACTGTATACTCAATTACAAAATGTCTCAAGAACTGAAAGTTAATTCCTATTATTACTGTATGAATGAATATGTATTTCAGAAATGTTTCTTTCTTTACTTTTCTACTGCTTGAAAGACAGGTTTCTGACTTCAGGCTACAGGATTGCATTATAGCATACAACAATATATACTGTATATAGAAAGAGGAAAACTAAACCAGAATCTATCCTGAAAAAGTTTGCAATTGAAAATGAAATACTGTATATACTATTTTAAATTACAAATACAGATGTGAAATACTGTACCTTTTCTTATTCACATTTGCGGTACTATGTTATCCCTAATTATTTTTGTATATTTCCAGTTTAATTTTCTATTGCAATTTCTATTGCTCCATGATGAACTCCGCTGTTAAGTAATGCAGTGAAGTTTCCTCAATTGCAGTGGATTCAACCAATTCTTTAAAGTGTAAATTACCATTTGGTCCTATGCACAAACCACACACTTGACAATAAATATATATATATTTATATTTATTTCTATTATATATGACAAAATCTAGAGCCTTACATGTGGCTTTTTATTTCCTTTCTTTTGCCTGTATTTTAGTTCTTGTGCCTTAAGTGGGCCAGTATCACACCCTGCATCATTGTGCCAGAATATTTTATAATGTTGCTCCTAGTCAGAACTCAGGATTAAGGGCAGACTCCCTCAGTGCCTGGGCAGCTACAGTATACAGACAACTTTATTCTTAAAGCTACCATGTTTCATTATTTAACCCTCACAGGTCAATGTGAATGAAGATGCCATCCAAATAATATCAAAATAAATTTCTAAATATCAACAAAATGCCAAATATCAACCAAAAAGGATCACAAAGACAGGGTTTTTATCATCCCTGTGCTCTATGTTTGGCTGCACCTGCTGCCTGACTTTAAGAGTCTTGGAAGTGCAATCACAGCCTGTCATCAGGAAGTCAGGGATGTATTTAATACTGATCACCATTAACAGACATCATGACTTTCCATGTACATCTCTTTCCCCTTTGTATGCTTTTAAAGCTTTAATAGAAGGTCATGAAGCCATCTATTTCATAGTTAAAGATCTAGCTATCTGCTAATGAAAAGCTGATGTCATGCAGAGTGTTCAAACCATAAATTGAAACAAGCTAGTTCGATATCACAGTTATGCTGGCAAGGGATTTTGAAGCTGTATTAACAACACTGATTTGTAGATGGACTTTTTAAAACAGCCTGTTAGTCATTGGAGGGCCGAAGTGTTAGTTTTTCTACATGACAGCTGTAATTAAGGGGAACCTTTCTCCAAACCTTAGAATGTTTGCATAGTGAATCAAATGTATATCCAATACGTGACAAGATGGGGCAGTGTTTAGCATTGCTGTCTCGCAGTACTGGGGCCCTGGGTTCAGTTCCTGGGTGCCAACAGCATGGAGCTTGTATGTTCTCTCTGTGTTTACATGGGTTTCATCCCACAGCGCAAACATAAACTGGTAGGAAGCTGCTGGGAAAATTGGCCCTGGGGTGAGCGTGTGTGTCAGTGTGTGCCATGCACTAGATTAGCATCCAGTTCGAGATGTACAGTATCTTGTCTTGCACCCATTGCTTGCTGGGATACACTCTGGCTCCCCATGACCCTGAATTAGATAAAGTGGTCAAAAATGGATGGACAGAGGTGTATTTTTTCAAATGATCAAGATAGTGGATCAGTTTAGTAATTGAGACTTCAAGGTTGGTAAAATCAGCAGCCTAGTGTGTTGGAAGGACTACACAGCAAGCCAGCTGCCCAGCCACCTTTCATCCAAAAGGTTAAACCACAATGCTCCCACAATGAACTTCTCTTTGTACTGCAATAAGAAACTGAGGTGGCACCGTGACACTGTCACCTTGAGCACGATAGCAAGCTCAAAACAGAGAATATACTGTACAAACACTGCAGTATGTTCAAGTGGATAGCTGCCTCAGTGTACTGTATGTAGGCTGCAAAGGAACAGGTAAAGGTGTCGTACCTGAAGAGGGCTCCACAGACAAAACATTGTCTTTTCTTTCCCTTTCAGCATGGAATAAACCTTTATCTGTTCCTCCCCTGTAGTATGTGATAGCTTGGAGCTGGTCATCCTAAAGAGTCTGATGCATACACTCATGTAGAGAGGTGTTGTAATTAAAAAAACAGCTTGACTTTGTTGGTGTTCATCTTTGTGATAGAGATTGTAGTCCTGCCCTGCCCAGCAATCTCCAGAGGGGGGTCTCACCTCTTGAAGACAATGTAGGCTACCAGCCCCACAACCACGGCTGCCAGGATGGAACAGTAGATGGGGATGAGGTTCTCGTTCAGTCCCTTGCCAATGAACTGCGGCGAGGTGGCAGTGGTGACAATATCCATGGCTGGGGTGGTCTGGTCGTCATCGATGGAGGAGGTGATGTCCTCCACAGAGTAGGGGGTTGGTCCCAGGGAGGACGAGGACAAGGTGCTAGAGAAGCGAGGGTTCAATTCTGTGGGAAAGAAACACAGTCACTGCAGCAGACAGAACCACGGTGTCAAAGAACATTACAAAGACCACAGGTACATTCAGTCTAGTTTCGTGAGTTTGGTTACAAAGGAAAAGTTATTTTGGATATTGAAGGAATTACTTTCAATAACATTAACACGTAGCTTCTTTCAGACTCTTCTATCTGAGTAAAGACATGTCTCCTGTTGTCAGCTCTAAATTAACTACTTCTCCATTTTCCTCATGGTTCCACTGAGACAAGTTTCACTGTCAAGTGTGAAGAAATATACCATTGGAATTTAAAATATGTGAACCACATGCCCTCTTAAAAGCTCTGATAGCGCTGTTATTGCCAAATACATTTCTCTTTCTGTGTTATGTTGTCAGGATCTTCATTCACAACATGTAAAGAGTAAGGGAGGGCACTAAGTCCAGTCCCAGTAGTACAGTATATGTCTCTCTCAAAAACAGTGTGTTTTTATTTACTGCTTCCAGACCAGCATAATGTGTGGTGCCGATAGAACACTACTTGTTTCTTTTCCGATTTGTGGGTACTTCTTGAAGTACCCAGGCAGAAACTGAGGTGATGTACTGTAACATTCAAGGATAATTCATTTTCTGACCATAGTTGCCTGAGAATTTCATGAAGTACCCAAATTTGGCATCTGCCCATAACACACACATCTATATACATTAGTAAGTGCCTTACAAAAGTGCCAACAAAAAATATGTTGTTGGTTTTAAGATTGCAGTCATGACAATTTGAAGTAAAAATTAATATTTCTTACAAATACAACCTACTCTACACATTCAAAGCCAAAAAGCTTTGTGACTGTAATTGCTTCTCAATCAAAGGTGATTGCATGCATTTCAGTTTTTTTTCTTTAGTTTGCTAACATGTACTGTAACATACTGTATCTTACCATTTGAGGACTTCAGTTTGAGCATTCAGTTTGAATAAAATATTAAGTGTAAAAATTGTGTAAACATTATTTTGTAAATTCATGACATTATTGTATATAGAGTTGCCAAAACATCACTATAACCCTGGAGAGTTGTCCTTGTCAGACAGTACATACAGTATATCACTTCTGGGCCCTAAAAAGGGAGAAATAGTGGTTTGTAGATGCTTACTATCGAAGTCTAGACAGTTCTGCTTTCTGGTGCTGTGAAATCTGCGTTACTTCCCGGTTCCATAAATAAAGACCTTGCAGCTGTTTTGTGACCACTTGTTATGTTTCAGTGCTTACACTGGTATCTTTTTTTAAAGAATAACCAGCAGCTTTCTAGAAACCAGAGCTATTCATCCCCACATGTGAAGAATTTCAAGGATGGTCTACGATGACTATGGTTGCAATGTATTGAATAAGCCTGGTGTAAGAAACAACAGAATAATCTGTCTTTCCACGTACATTTTTACTGCCCTTGGAGAGACTACAAAGCAAATCCGTTTTGCAGAGGCTGCCCTAAGGCTACGGACATTTCCCGCTTCTCTGATTTCAAAAGATCTCCGACTGCCAAAAATTGCTTAAGAATAAAACATTAAGCATCACTGTCGCTGAGGCTGTCCCTCTGTCTAAAGTGGTGCCTATGGGAACAGGCCTGAAGAAAGGAAATACGCTCATCTGGATCAAGACAAGAGACCAATAGGCTGAGATTCACTGCACTCTCTTTCAGCACCTTGTTCAAGTGTTTTTCAATTTATTTTTAAATATTTTCTATTAAGGCAGAGTCTATTACTGGAGGTGGTTTCCCCTGAATCAGAGCAGGGAACAAACAAAACATTGTAACATTTACTCACATTAACTGATTTCTGTTTTATAGTTTGATAACATTATATGACCACTATTGCATTAGTAGTGTGCATACTACTGTTCTCCAGTTTTGCAGTGTAGACTGTGAAAACCAGCTGTAGCATATTATCAGGATGAACTATAATAAAACTGCGAGGCTGGATTGAAGTTCTTGTTCATCAAAAGTTAGACACCGTGGTTCAAAGGTCTTTCCTGTGCGTGAGCTGTGCTGTACCTCTGTCAGTAATGCTTCATGTTTGTTATGTTATATTTCAAATGTGCATATAAATTAAATAGAATTAGTAGCAAACCAAATTATTTAAAGCACAAAGCAGCATGTTCAGTTGATTGTGATAAATGAGGGCTGGGTGGAGGAGGATCTTCAGCCCATGCTTGTTCTCCTGTTCTCACAGCACACATTTAAGCCGTTGTGCTTAGTCTTGCCAACAACCAGCTTGAAATGTCTGCAAACGACCTTTTAATGTATTATTAAACTGTTCCAGTCTCCATCCCAGGATCTCTTGGCTTTAATATTTTCATAAGGTTCTGCCGCTCAGGGGCTTATTAAGATCCCATTTCTGAGCTGTTTGCAAAGCAAAGGCAAAGGCGGGAGCTGGCTGGGCTGCAAGAGACTCAGGGATCGCTCTGCCCTGGGCTGAGCGGAGGGGCTGGCACAGCTGCCGTGGCAGAGACAAGTCGACCGCTGTTCTGTTCCTGCTGTGTTTAAAATGAGCCAGAGACGAGTCAAGGGCCCTTGACATTTCCTATTCAGTCCGAAAACCCCACTTTGGTACAGATGATCTATTCAAACCCTCTGCCTTCCACTCTGCCACCCAAAGTTTATCTTGGCCCTTCCAGTACTCATTTCACTTTTCTTGATGTAACCCTTCACATTTTACGCCCTCAGATGCAAACAATTCGGCCTGCTTAAACTTCTTCTCTTTCTTTTGTGCTCTTTTTTCTTCCTCTCCTGGACTTTTCCAAGCTCGGCGTTCTTCATCTTTCATGAAGAGCTCTACAAGAGCCGCCTGCGCTCCTGCCCCGAGGCCCCATTACAGTGATTCACTGTGGCTGACTGACCCCATCACTTCCTGAAACCCAGCTGACATCACCGCTCTGCACTTGTTCCGACAGCCGCCGCTGATGATTAGAGAGCCAGAACGGCTCTTGTGAAAGGCACTGTTCGGCCGGGAGGCAGAGTCCCGCTCTTTAAGATCTCTGGGGGGGGGTGGAACAACCAAACAGATGTACAGGCAGGTATTGCTGTTGAAAATAAAGTTTTATGAGCCCCTTCAGTTCAATTAGAAGCTTTTCGAGCCTGAATTTACTGCTGCGTTCAATTTTCACATACTTTAGAAGTAAGGTCCGATGTGCCACTGCTTAAGGCCAGCCTGTTTAAAGCAGCACTTGGCTTGGTTCATGACGCAGATGGAGAACTAATTGGTGGAGCTTTTATTGTTTATCTGAACCTCAAAGCTTAACTGGAGGCCTGAAGGGCATAACCTTGAACTTCTTTTCCCTACAGCCTTCTTTTACACACAACGCAGGGCACAGAATCTCGGTGTTGTTGACCAAACCTTTCTGCTACCTTAGTTTCCTCTCCTCTTGCAGAAAGCAATCCTCACGCACTGATGCTACTGATGTGTGCATGCGTTAGCATTGTCTCGCATCTGCACAGTGGCTTTTAACTCACCGAGGGGCCACATTCCTTTAGAAACAGTTGCTTTTGAACTTGAATCATAAATGGGGCCTGATGCTAGTAAAATGGACAATAATGGGGAATGAAACGAAATGGGCTTTGGCTCCCCTCCACTTTGCATATAAAATGCAAAGCACCTGTACTCTTTCGCCTTTCAGTGAAAAAACAGCTCTCTGCATAAACAGCACAGCCAAGACTGCCTTTATACTCCTTTTCATTGATTGTCAGGCGTATGATTTTGTTTTTGTTGCCATGCTTTAGTTGAGCATTGTTGCAAATTGGCCTTCACTCTTGCTTTTTAACTGAGCTCCCACGGTGAGCAATTGACTTTCACTGCTATGCTTTGATCCTTGGCCTGACTGCTGTCTCCCGCCTGGTTAACCACAGTTCCAGTCTCTAGCCCCCCGGAAACTAAAATCACCCACAACCGTCGTTTCCTCTACAATGTACAGTGTGATGTGCTGGGAGCAGGGGTCAATGACTTCTCCTGCTTTCAAAGAAACTCCCAAATAACCACACTAAGGCAGGACGGCTGGGCAAACACAGTCACTCTTTGTTGAAGCTCTCTTGATATCTATCTTGATATCTATCTCGGTTTCTCTTTTGTTACCTCCCCTCTACAGTGTTCCATCTCTCTTTCAGCTGTTATCTCTCCTCTACCACGCTTTCACATGCTCTCTCCCCCTCTCTCAAGACCAAGCAGCTTTTGAAGTAAGGCCTGGTGGCAGTTTCCTCCAGAGATATAGTGAATGGAAGAAAACTCAAACATTGCCTGATTTGCGGGCAGCAATTACATATAAGTAAGAGCCCATTCACAATGAGCTGCTGTTCACTTCCTTTGGAGAAAGAATTGGGGGGATGAATAAAGACTGAATAATGAATGAATAATATACATTCAATGTACCAGCTTGTTTGCTGGTGAAAGGAACTGACATTATATTTATAATGATCTAAATAATCTCAGCTTCATGTAAGAAAATCTGTAAATTGTTTCTCCTATACTGTAGTTTTGTTAGTCATTTTTTAGTTAATTTCAGAGAACCAATGTGCCAGTCTGCACCGTGCAAGTGTGATTTCATTTCTAATCTCAACAGCCCTTTATGATTGATTATCTAACCAGAGAAAATCAAAGAAAGTCTTTAAAGTTGGCTGAGCTTCTTGTTAAAAAAAGAGAAAACGATCACGCTTAGCCCAGTGATGTTTTTTTGATGTTATGCCCCTCGTGTCTCAAATGAGAATTATAAAATGATGTCTTTATGTAAAGATGACCTGTTTAGCAGTTTTCCTGTGTACAAAAATAAAACTGGCACAGAATTTTGGTGTGATCAATGTTTTTTCATCAGAGTCTACTAATTGATCCATAATCATCTGTGTGCACTTACTGAATGCAGTGCCTTGCAGGGGTTGGTATGGTATGTGCTGCCAGTGTCCACTGACAGGATGCACAGAGGGCATAAAAGGAGCCCTTCCATTGTGCATTGGGCAAGGCAGAGTGAACCCAGGGGACAGGGG